AAAAAAAAAAAATGATCGGTCACCATCTAAATCAATAATTTTGTTCTTCCTGCAGATTAACAAATTCTGCATAGAATACGAAAAATACAGCTCAGAAAACTAAATTAACAGCAAGTATAATACGGGAAGTCAGTTTACCCTTGCACAAGGCTACTTTCGCAATTAACACACAAACCAGCGGAAGGCAACAAACTCGTTTAAATACAAATGCATCTTCACTGACCTACGAAAATGGTAAAAACTTCATTAGGGGCATTAATACATTTGCCACATAGTTCGGCTGACAGAGATGCCTCATAGCTTTCAGAACTGTTTAATACTTATAAAGCTATATACTTTTAGAACATGGAAAACTAAATATTTTCATAAAATGCGCCATGGGTAGTACCGTATTTCACCTCAGCAACCATTCGCCACCACATTTTGTTTTTTTTTATGAGTTTTAATCAGAAATCATTCAGAATGCTACTTGGAAGCTTTTCGACCTCTTCAAGCAAAAAATTACTAATTCTCATATACTAAAGAATTTTAAAGGCACAGTTTCTAGGGACCATAAAAACTTGATATCCCCTTTTCCCCTCACTAGATTAAATTTTTACAGTTCGCTTACTGATAATTCAGTCTTGTCCAGACATACTGTTGTCAACAAATTTGGTTAGTAAAAGAGCTTCAAAACTCATGCTGAAGTTGATAACACAAAGCACTGAAAGTTAACACCGCTACTCCGCATTGGGCAATAAACCTCAATAGTAGATAACTAACAACCTCACACGTTTATCGACCTTCCGGCTTACTCATATTGATACTTCACTTGACCTACTGCTTCTGACAACCGCAAAGAAACTTGTTCGTCTGTCACCTGCTGACTTTACAAATCAAAAAACAGTACTACTGCAGCCAACCCCGTTAAAACAGTGTCGATCTACGGCCTCATTTGGAAACATGATTAAGCACAAAGTGACGAATAAAATTAAAGCCACTTGGTTCATTTGAAAATGCAGTGTTATATAAAACAAGAAAACAGTAAATGTTCAGCAAGAAAAATCGCAAAAAGTGCGTGATTCCCCAACCTCTCTCTTCCAAAATAAAAAACTTCAGAACACTTCATCCCAGCTTCCCACTATTCCAACTAATCAATCGGACACGGGATACGTTTTGTAAAATTCGAAGAAAAATTACTTATAAAGCAACCACATCGAAGAATTACATAAAATGCTCCGAGTGAAAGCCCCCTTAACTTTCACAGTTATTTCGATTCCGCATCAAACAAAAACCGTATATACTAACCGAAGCCATCGACACCCAAACAGTTACCATAGCAGCTGAATCATTGAAGTGGCAAAAATTTTTAATATAAAAACATCGGAACTATAAAATCCAAACATATTAGAAGTGAAAAAAATATTACACAGTATTTTTAGGATGTAATCCTTGTGACATTAGCATGAAGATAAAATCATTGTCTGGAAGATATTTACAAATTCAGATATAAATATTGATTAAAGTAAGAAATACAGAAAAATTCTCTTCCATACCACAAAATGTAGAGCAGCATTCATAACCTAGATGTAAAAACAAGCAAAATACCATTTCCGAGCAGATAAATTTAGTATATCCTACACTTCTTAACGTAAACTAAATAAAGTGGCCATAAATCTTAAGACTACAACAAAAACAAAAAAATTCAAATTCCATTAAGCATAACAAGTGCACAACAGGCTGTGTAGCAACCTAGTCGAAAAAAAGTCGATAACTTTTGACCAAGAAGTTAACCAAAAAACTTCAATAGACAAAAGGGTAAAATAGTCCTCTAAAGTAATTCCCCACACAAACATCTAGACAAGAATGGTTGACTTATTAATCAAAAATGACAGAAAACGATAAAAGAAACCTAGTTAGGCATCTGTCGAAGACTTCAAATATTCAAAGAGATCAACCGGATATGACACCAAGGATGACGGCAATATAACACCAAGTAGAACGTTGCGACAATGATAACTAGAACGTTCTTCTAAAAGTAACTGACAGAAACTGGAAGAACAAGAAGCTCTTCAAGAGCAACTTGGTAATTTTTTCATTTAAGTAGACTGAAAAACGCATGAAACGTAAAGATAAACGCACAAACAAAGTCCATAACAATATCATAAAAATAATAAAGCTAGCAACAAAAAGAGCGCTCCAACTACTACACTGAATCACATACCATTACAAGTTTCTGCAAGCATTAACAAAGACTCTCTTCGTTTTCAAAAGTCTTAAGTCCAGTAAGATTGACTATAAAACTCATACAGTAAACAAAATGACCGCTAGAAAGGCTATTTACTAACGTGGAAAAAAGTCGATAACGACCTTCACCATCACTGGAAAAGAAAATGCAGAATATTCGTAGTCAATAACTTACAGCGAGTGGGACACAATTTTCGGCTAAACACTTCTCAAACCCTTTACCTTGTTTGAAGGAGCTAAAAGCAGCTACTGCGACCAAAAACGTAGGCCAAATCACTATATTTTTAGAGAAACTGAAGCAGTCATTTATGAAAGAAAAAAAGCAAAACACTCGTCGATTCAAAAAAATCACTTCAATTTTCCAAACATGAAAAATTTCGAAAAAGCTCACTTCAAGTGCGGAAGGTGTGAAAAGGAATGACAACACCAACAAAGCATTCGAAAAACAACATTTTTATTTTACATAAATGTACGTCAAAAATCTTTTTACGCTCTTCGGGTCCTCCGTTCCTCTCTTCTCACTAATGTCGAGCTTTTTTCTTGCTTCATTCCATCAGCTGCTTCACAAAAACCAGGTTTCAAGTCTATACTTTCTCCCATCACATCGGCACCATCATGCTTCTTATTTCTTGCATATCTATTGCCCTAAAAACAAAAGAAACACATAAAAAATGCAGCAGCCACTTTACTGTTTTGGTAGCAATTTTCTTGAAAAATAATATTGAAAGAACAGTTTAAAAAAATAATTATAAACCTCTTTCAAATACGCCTCGTAGAAGAAGTTGCAGAACAGTAGAAAGTAAGAAAAGTAAATGAGGAAAGAGAAATAAAGATTATTCCAAGTTTGCTGACATTCTCGCCCTGCCAGTTTGATCTTTAAAATTGAAATACCTAAAAAACAATTAATTAATCCTAATAATGCTGTTACGAGCAATCTCTATGCAACACATAAATGTTTAAAAAATCTGCACTAAAAAAATTTGAATGTTCAACGACAGGAAAAACTCATTTACATTTCAAAATTGTTACCTTCATAAGCAGCTCTACACCTTCAATATGCACCTCCCCGAAATTCTTAAGAAAATGTTAACTACTACTCTAATTTGCATCATTCTATAGCAAGAAATGAGAAAGTAAGTCGGAATGCTAGAAAAAACTGTCACAACAATCTCAGTTCAAATATCAGCTGCTCACTATTAAACCAAAAACGAATACTTCTCTTACATTATGAATAAAGATACTAAGGCTATAATTAAAAAGAAATAAATTTAAAACTAGTTTAGCTGACAAACTTACATTCTTCTCCCCTAAATGTGAGCAAAAAATCTTGAAACCCCTACAATTAAAAGATAACCCTGAGAACTAAACATAATGCACTAAATTCCCAATAAAATGGCCAGCAAATGACACACGTTTTAAATAAACTAGACTGCAAAAAACAACAAAAATCAAACAAAGATGAATATTTCAACTGCTCTAATAATAAAAAAAACAACACTTTTCATTAACTTTCCCAAACTTACCGATAGAGACACCGCCAACCATCTGCAATATCTGTAGGACAGTAACCATCATTGCAGCCGACTTTGGCAGCCGAAACCGCAATGATCGGAGTGCATAGTAAGAATACATAAAAGCATGTACTGTGTAGTTCATCCAAATAAACCAACGACCTGAAGCTGTGTGGTCCTAAAAGTTCCAGTTAAAACAAGAGGCAAAAATGCGTATTAAACTGTTTTGAGTTTGAAAGAAAATCTTCTCTCC